AGACTATATAGATACTATCGTGACTATAATCAAGGCATGTCTATAGTTTTGACTACAGTCAGGGCTATAGAGGAACTGTATTCAGAACTATAGACAGGACTGTATAGAAACTGTAGTTAGCAGAATAGAGAGATTATATTCAAGATTATAGAATGGCTATACTCAGGACTATTGTCAAGAACATTACGGCTATACTGAGACCTAAATCAAGATTATCGTAAGACTATAGTGAAACTATAGCCAGGACAATAAAGGAATTAATATAGTGTAAATATAACCATTGCTAGAGCTATAGTGGGATTCTATTAAGGTTAAAATGACTATATAGATACTATCGTGAAACTATAGTCAGGACTATAATCAAGGCATGTCTATAGTTCTGACTACAGTCAGGGCTATAGAGGGACTGTATTCAGAACTACAGACAGGACTGTATAGAAACTGTAGCTAGCAGAATAGAGAGATTATATTCAAGATTATAGAATGGCTATACTCACGACTATTGTCAAGAACATTACGGCTATACTGAGACCTAAATCAAGATTATCGTAAGACTATAGTGAAACTATAGCCAGGACAATAAAGGAATTAATATAGTGTAAACAAAACCATTGCTAGAACTATAGTGAGACTCTATTAAGGTTATAATGAAAATACAGTCAAAACTAGAGATAGCCTACAGTGAGACTATAGTCAGGACAATAGAGGGATCATATTCATAACTATAGTGCGACTATGATAAGATTATATTAAGGCTATAGTAAGACTACTATCAAAACAATAAAGAAACTACAGTGAGACTATAGTCAGAATATTACATAGATCATATATCGTGAAACTGTAGTCAGGACTATATTCAAGGCATGACTATAAAGAGATTATAGTCAGACTACCGTCAAGACTATATAGAGACTATCGTGAAACTATAGTCAAGACTATATACAAGGCATGACTATAGAGAGACTACAATCAGGGCTATAGAGGGACTGTAGTCAGAACTATACTATACTGTGTAGAAACTGTAGTTAGCAGAATAGAGAGATTATATTTAAGATTATAGCGGCGTTGCGGCTATACTGAGACCTAAATCAAGATTATCTTAAGACTATAGTGAAACTATAGCCAGGACAAAAAGGGATTAATATAGTGTAAACAAAATCATTGCTAGAACTATAGTGAGACTATACTTAAAATGAGAATATACTCAAAACTAAAGATAGCCTACAGTGAGACTATAGTCAGGACAATAGAGGAAACATATTCATAACTGTAGTATGACTATAATAAAATTATATTAGGGCTATAGTGAGACTACTATCAGAACAATAAAGAAACTACACTGAGACTATAGTCAGGATATTACATAGATCATATTCAAGACTAGAGTATCACTATACTCAACATTCTTGCTAAAACTATAGTAAAACAACATTGAGGCTATAGTGAGAATGTAGTCGTTGAAAACGGATAACTTTTCATCTCTAATAAGTTTCAACTAAATACGCATTTTATATAACACAAGCTTAAACTTTCAAGTTAATCTAAATAAACATACTTATTCACACTAAATCTAATCTTTTTTCATTTACTTACTATACTTGTAGGTGTTTTCTTATAATAGTTTTATTTCTTCGCATATGGAGGACAACTAAAAACAAACAATTTTAATTTCGTTTCTTAATGACTTTTCATGAACTTAATCTGTGTTCCAAGAACATTTTGAAAACGTAAACATTTTGACAGCAACAACAAAAACAAGCATTTAGTAATTGAGAACGTGTTTTATCGTTTGATCATAAAATACACATGCTCATAAAAACATATTAACAGATATATGTACATCCTTACACGCCCAGCAACTATTCATGTATGCAATGTAGCCTTTTTAGGTAGTATTTTTTTCCTAAGGAAAAAGGGTTGCACTCTGTAAAAGCTTTCCCCTAGGACAACTATGTATATGCAAGTACCATTAACGAGTCGTATAGCTTATTCTTTAAAGTAACTATGTAGTTCAGGGCATTCACCTTGAACTGCAGGAACCCATTTTAATACACATATACATGCAGGTTTAATTAAACCAATATGCGTTTTAAGGTGGCCCCAGTTTTATCTAGTCATTTAGAGAAAAAATAAATATAGTAAAAATTTTGCCACACCCATTTTATATTCCCACCATTTTTTAATTATTTCAAGTGTACTATAACAATGTGCACTACAGGTAGTATGATTAATATTTAGTCAATAATATTTTGAGTCAAATTAAAGGCTACAACTACCGTAAGACACCGATATGCATGTAAGCATAACTAGAAGCAAGTGTTACTAAAATCTTAAAGAAAATATTTATACATATTTTTTATACTCCTTAAAAATACAAAAGTATTATTATAAAAGATTTATACACAAAACACTAGAAATGATATTGAAACGACAGACAGAAAACCAAAAGAAAAATCGTATGCATAAATTTTGTATTGTATTAAGAAGACAACGTACAGTAACAAAAAATTACAAATAAATGAAAATCACAAGAGAAAATTGTTAAGGAAATAGAAATCTACACAAATGTGAAACCAAGAAAAAAAACTAAAATAAAATAAATACAATAATAATATGAAAACTATTCCCTAACTGAAAATGAAATATTTATTTTTCACACACATGGTCGACAGCAACACAAAAAAAAAAATAAAAGGAAATAGAAATAAGATGAATACACATAAGGCTTAAATATATACATATTTATTACATTAAAGTAATGCTAAAAATGAAAAGGGATAAGTCAAATCGGAGTGAGCATATAATCACAAAGGAAACAAAATGATAAGACCAAACGAAGTAGATCTATCCAGCCAAAACTAGAGTGAGTCAGGACTAAAGTAAGAATATAGTCTGAACTATAGTCAGGTCTATAGTGAGACTATAGTCAGGTCTATAGTGAGACTATAGTCAAGACTATAGTGAGGTTATAGTCAAGTCTATAGTGAGACTATAGTCAGGACTATAGTGAGACTATAGTCAGGACTATAGTGAGACTATAGTCAGGACTATAGTGAGCCTATAGTCAGGACTGTAGTGAGACTATAGTCAAGACTATAGTGAGACTATAGTCAGGACTATAGTGAGGCTATAGTCAGGACTATAGTGAGGACTATAGTAAGACTATAGTCAGGACCATACTGAGACTATAGTCAGGACTATAGTGAAACTATACATAGGTTATAGACAGGACTATAGTGAGAATATAGTCATGACTATAGTGAGATTTTAGCCAGGACTATAGTCTGGATTATAGTGAGACTATAGTAAGGATTATAGTAAGACTATAGTCAGGACTATAGTGAAACTACAGCCAGGACTATAGTGAGACTATAATCAGGACTATAGTGAGACTATAGTTAGGACTGTAGTGGACTAAAGTGAAACTATTTTCAGGACAATAGTGAGACAATAGTCAGGACTACGGTGAGATAATAGTCAGGTCAATAGTGAGACAATAGTTAGGACTATAGAGAGACTATAGTCAGGACTATACTAAGGCTATGGTCCGGCCTATGCTGAGGCTATAGTCCGACCTATGCTGAGACTATAGTCAGTACTATAATGAGACTGTTGTCAGGACTATAGTGAGACTACATTCAGGACTACAGTGAGGCTATAGTCAGGACTATGCTGAGACTGTAGTCAGGACTATAGTGATACTATAGAGAGGTTATTTTCTGAACTATAGTGAGACAATAGTCAGGACTAAAGTGAGATAATAGTTAGGACAGTTAGAATTATACTGAGGCTATAGTCAGAAATATAGTGAGACTATAGTCAGAACTATAGTGAGACAATAGTGATGAGTATAGTGAGACTACATTCAAGACTATGCTGAGGCTATAGTCAGGAATATGATGAGACTGTAGTCAGGACTAAAGTGAAATAATAGTTAGGACAATAGTCAGGACTATAGTGAGACTATAGTCAGAACTATACTGAGACTATAGACAGGACTATTCTGAGACTATAGTCAGAACTATAGTGGGACTGTAGTCAGGACTATAGAGAGGCTATAGTCTGGCCTATGCTGAGATTATAGTCAGGACTATAGTGAGAATATTGTCATGACTATATTGGGACTATATTCAGGTCTATAATGAGACTACGGTCAGGACTATAGTGAGACTATAGTCAAGTCAACGGTAAGACTACAGTCAGGACTATAGTGAGACTCTAATCAAAAACTATAGTAAGAGACACAGTAGTCTTGACAGTAGTGAGAATATAGTCAGAACTATAGTGAGATTATAGTGAGGACTATAGCGAGACTTTAGTCAGGAATATAGTATATCTATTTTCTTGACTATAGGCAGACTACAATCACAACTCGAATTAGACTATAGAAAATATTATAGTAAGACTACAGTCAATACCATAACCGAGGCAATAAAATCAATAACCAATACTCTATTTATTGCCTTATTCGTAAACTTTTATCAAATATTTATAGAAAAAATTTTGTATGAAAATTTGATTATAAACCTTTTATAAAAGTTTCTCTTTTTTTGCTGATATTTGTCCTTATGACGCGAAATCATTAGGGAGGGCCCTTATTCAATCGTTCAAATGGTATTTATATATTGGTTTTTAAATGCTATGTTAATACAGACATATTTGAATTTTTATACAAAAGCCCTGCAGTTTTAAAGAAAGCTAGTTCAACAATATTTTTATAAATTTGTGGTTAATTTCTTGACTCAAATTTATATACATAAATGTACATATGTATTCTTAGCTTATCTGTCAAGTACGTTTTCTTTATAATGTCGAATGAGCGTTAAGACATTTTTTGTTTGAATTTCACTTTAAAGCAATTTTTATGTAATTTATCTAATATAATCTTGAGGATCACTTTTATTCATTATTTTGAGACAATTACCTCGAACTACCGTCTACTTTTTTCACACATTCACATAAATTTACTTTTCGTATAAATGATATAATATTGTACTCACATTCATATGGATATGTACATATGCACAATGCTCCCCATGGTGTCAACTGGAAATAAAAAAAGCAACAAGAAGAAAAAAATAAATTGAAAAATACAAAACTAAAACTGTTATAATATTGAAATGTTATAAGTTGAATAAATTTCTTTATATTGACATACACATTTGCATAAAAACTATATGTATGCCGTAGGTGTGTGTGTGTTATCGTGTATGTGTGATTTTCAATACACATATCATATCCGTTAGAGATCAACAAACAGCCAAACTTTAATAAAGGAAATCATGCAATAACCCAGGAAACAAAAAGCTTTCATAACGAATAGATTGAAAACAAAGACTTACTTAAAGGTAGACGTTTTATGTCTTTTTTATCTTTTTTACTTATAAAATACTTATAAAATTAATTTAATGGTAGAATTGTTTAAATGTTTGCTGGGTTGTCAAATACACACTAATATATTTGCATACATGTACATAAACTCTTTGATAGACACACACGCCAGCAGTTAGTCACACGTTCTTTCACTTATATTCGGGAAATATTTGAAAAATCAAATGTTTTGATATATTTACCGTAAGTAACAATATAAAAAATATTATAAGTTCTTATTTATGTGGCTGGTTATATAATATGTACATCGAAAATATTTCCGGAATTAGTAAATAATTCATAACAATTAGTGAAAAATTAACAATTTTCTGAAAACTATTTATCTTTCTTTAATTTAGTTTAATAAAATAGTGGATTTTTAAACAAAGTATAGATTTTTGAAGTTAATTTCTTACTTATTCCAATTTCGAACTTAAACATTATGAAAGTTTCGTCAAAGTTTGTTTTCACTTATTGTCACTCACTGTTGTGACGTATAAAAATGCAAATGTTACCCAAAATATAATTTCCTCTATAACACAAAAAATATATACATATAACGATTTGCAAATAAGATGATGATTGAATAATTTTATAAAAAGTGAAATAAAAAATTCAAATACAGATATTTAAATATGATGATAACAAAGGCAATATTGATTTAATACAAACCCACATACATATACACATATGTATGTATATACATATAGTAACATATGTATACAATTATTATTATGTTATACATATATACATATGTATTGAGTGTTGCAAAGTATGCAAAATAAGGCAGTTTTAATAGGTGCTACAGTTTTAGAAGGACTTCTTGATTGATTAAACTATTGAGATATTAAACTATTGTCTATAGTCTAGTCTATAGTCTAGTCTATAGTCTAGTCCTATAGTCTAGTCCTATAGTCTAGTCTATAGTCTAGTCTATAGTCTTATAGTCTAGTCTAGTCTATAGTCTAGTCTATAGTCTAGTCTATAGTCTAGTCTATAGTCTAGTCTATAGTCTAGTCTATAGTCTAGTCTAAAGTCTAGTCTAAAGTATAGTCTATAGTCTAGTCTAAAGTCTAGTCTATAGTCTAGTCTAAAGTCTAGTCTATAGTCTAGTCTATAGTCTAGTCTATAGTCTAGTCTATAGTCTAGTCTATAGTCTAGTCTATAGTCTAGTCTATAGTCTAGTCTATAGTCTAGTCTATAGTCTAGTCTATAGTCTAGTCTATAGTCTAGTCTATAGTCTAGTCTATAGTCTAGTCTATAGTCTAGTCTATAGTCTAGTCTATAGTCTAGTCTATAGTCTAGTCTATAGTCTAGTCTATAGTCTAGTCTATAGTCTAGTCTATAGTCTAGTCTATAGTCTAGTCTATAGTCTAGTCTATAGTCTAGTCTATAGTCTAGTCTATAGTCTAGTCTATAGTCTAGTCTATAGTCTAGTCTATAGTCTAGTCTATAGTCTAGTCTATAGTCTAGTCTATAGTCTAGTCTATAGTCTAGTCTATAGTCTAGTCTATAGTCTAGTCTATAGTCTAGTCTATAGTCTAGTCTATAGTCTAGTCTATCTAGTCTATAGTCTAGTCTATAGTCTAGTCTATAGTCTAGTCTATAGTCTAGTCTATAGTCTAGTCTATAGTCTAGTCTATAGTCTAGTCTATAGTCTAGTCTATAGTCTAGTCTATAGTCTAGTCTATAGTCTAGTCTATAGTCTAGTCTATAGTCTAGTCTATAGTCTAGTCTATAGTCTAGTCTATAGTCTATAGTCTAGTCTATAGTCTAGTCTATAGTCTAGTCTATAGTCTAGTCTATAGTCTAGTCTATAGTCTAGTCTATAGTCTAGTCTATAGTCTAGTCTATAGTCTAGTCTATAGTCTAGTCTATAGTCTAGTCTATAGTCTAGTCTATAGTCTAGTCTATAGTCTAGTCTATAGTCTAGTCTATAGTCTAGTCTATAGTCTAGTCTATAGTCTAGTCTATAGTCTAGTCTATAGTCTAGTCTATAGTCTAGTTTATAGTCTAGTCTATAGTCTAGTCTATAGTCTAGTCTATATTCTAGTCTATAGTCTAGTCTGTAGTCTAGTCTATAGTCTAGTCTATAGTCTAGTCTATAGTCTAGTCTATAGTCTAGTCTATAGTCTAGTCTATAGTCTAGTCTAGTCTAGTCTAGGCTAGTCTAGTCTATAGTCTAGTCTAGTCTATAGTCTAGTCTAGTCTATAGTCTAGTCTAGTCTATAGTCTAGTCTATAGTCTAGTCTATAGTCTAGTCTATAGTCTAGTCTATAGTCTAGTCTATAGTCTAGTCTATAGTCTAGTCTATAGTCTAGTCTATAGTCTAGTCTATAGTCTAGTCTATAGTCTAGTCTATAGTCTAGTCTATAGTCTAGTCTATAGTCTAGTCTATAGTCTAGTCTATAGTCTAGTCTATAGTCTAGTCTATAGTCTAGTCTATAGTCTAGTCTATAGTCTAGTCTATAGTCTAGTCTATAGTCTAGTCTATAGTCTAGTCTATAGTCTAGTCTATAGTCTAGTCTATAGTCTCGTCTATAGTCTAGTCTATAGTCTAGTCTATAGTCTAGTCTATAGTCTAGTCTATAGTCTAGTCTATAGTCTAGTCTATAGTCTAGTCTATAGTCTAGTCTAGTCATAGTCTAGTCTAGTCTAGTCTATAGTCTAGTCTATAGTCTAGTCTATAGTCTAGTCTATAGTCTAGTCTATAGTCTAGTCTATAGTCTAGTCTATAGTCTAGTCTATAGTCTAGTCTATAGTCTAGTCTATAGTCTAGTCTATAGTCTAGTCTATAGTCTAGTCTATAGTCTAGTCTATAGTCTAGTCTATAGTCTAGTCTATAGTCTAGTCTATAGTCTAGTCTATAGTCTAGTCTATAGTCTAGTCTAGTCTATAGTCTAGTCTAGTCTATAGTCTAGTCTAGTCTATAGTCTAGTCTATAGTCTAGTCTATAGTCTAGTCTATAGTCTAATGTATAGTCTAGTCTATAGTCTAGTCTATAGTCTAGTCTATAGTCTAGTCTATAGTCTAGTCTATAGTCTAGTCTATAGTCTAGTCTATAGTCTAGTCTATAGTCTAATGTATAGTCTAGTCTATAGTCTAGTCTATAGTCTAGTCTATAGTCTAGTCTATAGTCTAGTCTATAGTCTAGTCTATAGTCTAGTCTATAGTCTAGTCTATAGTCTAGTCTATAGTCTAGTCTATAGTCTGGTCTATAGTCTAGTCTATAGTCTAGTCTATAGTCTAGTCTATAGTCTAGTCTATAGTCTAGTCTATAGTCTAGTCTATAGTCTAGTCTATAGTCTAGTCTATAGTCTAGTCTATAGTCTAGTCTATAGTCTAGTCTATAGTCTAGTCTATAGTCTAGTCTATAGTCTAGTCTATAGTCTAGTCTATAGTCTAGTCTATAGTCTAGTCTATAGTCTAGTCTATAGTCTAGTCTATAGTCTAGTCTATAGTCTAGTCTATAGTCTAGTCTATAGTCTAGTCTATAGTCTAGTCTATAGTCTAGTCTATAGTCTAGTCTATAGTCTAGTCTATAGTCTAGTCTATAGTCTAGTCTATAGTCTAGCCTATAGTCTAGTCTATAGTCTAGTCTATAGTCTAGTCTATAGTCTAGTCTATAGTCTAGTCTATAGTCTAGCCTATAGTCTAGTCTATAGTCTAGTCTATAGTCTAGTCTATAGTCTAGTCTATAGTCTAGTCTATAGTCTAGTCTATAGTCTAGTCTATAGTCTAGTCTATAGTCTAGTCTATAGTCTAGTCTATAGTCTATAGTCTAGTCTATAGTCTAGTCTATAGTCTAGTCTATAGTCTAGTCTATAGTCTAGTCTATAGTCTAGTCTATAGTCTAGTCTATAGTCTAGTCTATAGTCTAGTCTATAGTCTAGTCTATAGTCTAGTCTATAGTCTAGTCTATAGTCTAGTCTATAGTCTAGTCTATAGTCTAGTCTATAGTCTAGTCTATAGTCTAGTCTATAGTCTAGTCTATAGTCTAGTCTATAGTCTAGTCTATAGTCTAGTCTATAGTCTAGTCTATAGTCTAGTATAGTCTAGTCTATAGTCTAGTCTATAGTCTAGTCTATAGTCTAGTCTATAGTCTAGTCTATAGTCTAGTCTATAGTCTAGTCTATAGTCTAGTCTATAGTCTAGTCTATAGTCTAGTCTATAGTCTAGTCTATAGTCTAGTCTATAGTCTAGTCTATAGTCTAGTCTATAGTCTAGTCTATAGTCTAGTCTATAGTCTAGTCTATAGTCTAGTCTATAGTCTAGTCTATAGTCTAGTCTATAGTCTGGTCTATAGTCTAGTCTATAGTCTAGTCTATAGTCTAGTCTATAGTCTAGTCTATAGTCTAGTCTATAGTCTGGTCTATAGTCTAGTCTATAGTCTAATCTATAGTCTAGTCTATAGTCTAGTCTATAGTCTAATCTATAGTCTAGTCTATAGTCTAGTCTATAGTCTAGTCTATAGTCTAGTCTATAGTCTAGTCTATAGTCTAGTCTATAGTCTAGTCTATAGTCTAGTCTATAGTCTAGTCTAGTCTAGTCTAGTCTAGTCTATAGTCTAGTCTATAGTCTAGTCTATAGTCTAGTCTATAGTCTAGTCTATAGTCTAGTCTATAGTCTAGTCTATAGTCTAGTCTATAGTCTAGTCTATAGTCTAGTCTATAGTA